TCAAGGAAAGACAGACAGGCCAAGACAACCGCTTACTTTAAGGGCGAGGCCACCACAAGCGAGGAGACTCCCCTATGGGGGTGTATCCCGAACACACCAGGGAAGATGACCCCGATAGTGCAAGGGTAGCACTTAAGGAGCACCCAGGGAAGGGAACCCTGAGCACATGCAGCTCGAAGCACACTAAACTCCTGGCTCATACTACACAAATACATACAAGAACAGCCTTGGCCGCTGCCTCCCTTCCGCCTCCAAATGAGGAAAAGAGGTGGGGCAAAACAGCTCGTGCTAGTTTAAAAAAATATTTAACAATTGTTTACAGTTTTGGGTTGAGATCTTTTGGAGAGTTTTGAGGCTGCAGCCTCTTTTCTAACCAAGCAGTAGTCAGTTTTATTTCATTGACTTTCTGGATGCCTTCCCTTGGTAGTGGCAGACATGAATAACTTTAACCCCTGCACCATGCACCTGTTTTTGGCAAAAGCTTTATGCTGCAATTGTCAAGGACATATTTTTGTTGTTTACATAAATGTTCAGGTAAAGTTAATGTCAAAATGTTTCCAAACTCAACCATTTTCATTTCAAAACACAAAGAGTAATGAAAACATTAAAAAAACATTAAAATATAGCCTAATTAAAAAAAAAAACTCAAAACAACATGTGTTGTTTGGGGCAGTGCAGTAGTTAAACAAAAGGTTTTCATAGTGCGACCGCTCCCTGCGCCTCTCTGAGGGGTCTGATGGCACCTCGAAGTATGACAATGTATCAGTGTAGTAGCTTCAGGGAGTCACAAGGGGCTTCCTCTAGAAATATATTCCTGTCTCACTTGTATGAGCAAATACATTAAAACCTGAAATAGGCAACTTGTTACATACAATATAGTATAGTGCGTAAAAAAAACACTAAAATACATTGTTTTAAATATAATAAATTATAGCAAATGAGGTAGATTATATTATCGTAGGCAGCATTGAGTTAACATCATGTATTTCAGACTATACATCAGACTACATACTAAGTTGACAACAAATACAGTACATGGTGGAAGCTCACATAACTTGGAAAATAATGGGTTTCCTTCCTTTTACCTACTAAAATACAAGCAAAATCATAATTATTTTATCATTACAATGGAAATAAATGTTATGGAAATGACATGTTAACAGTTATAAACTTAAGCTGAATTCAACAAACAAAAATTCTTTTAGTTTGGAATAAATCACACAATTATGGTATATGTATATATACGGGTATATACAAACCAATGCATACAAACTTGAAAACATACTGGATACAGAAATACAGTCAAAGCTATAGCTATTCTGCAGACAGAAATGGGTAAATGTACACGCATACCAATCCTAGTACAAAGGAGTAAACAAGATGATATGATTACTACATAGAAAAGCGTGACAAAAATCAGTGAAGTTGGCAAGGAGGGAATTTTAAAACTTTCCTCTTTTAAGGAAGAGAGGTCACAGACTAGCTGAGAAAACAAAGGTGCAGAAAAAAACAGCATTGAATGTAATGATATGCCATTTTCTCGGCGAGACCCGGAGGCTCCCCGGAGCTTATCCAGGCTGATATGCTAATGTCAGACTTTGGCATCAGTCATGTGTATGGAGTTCTTTGGGCCTACCGGGGACCACGAGCTAGAACCTGGCCCCAGAGAAGCATGGGGAGCAATGGTCTATAGAAACCCCCGTGTGGTTGGAAGCATTCTATGTCTGCCATCAACCGGGTCAGGCACCCAGAAAGTTAAGCGTCCGAAAACAAACCTGAGTACCCACCCCCACCACAAGACAAAATCACAAAGAAAAACAAAACCCCACAAGAGGACAACACACCCCAAGAAAAAGAGCCAGCCGCTATGAATGGTGAAAACAAGTTGCGCAGTACCCCGCGCCCCTACCAGTGCAAACTGACCCCTACCCTAAGGCGAACAAGGGAGACAGAACACCCAAGCACACAAAGGGCGGCCAAAAACCAAGCAGTAAACAGCCAAGCAGGGGCAGAACCCAAGGAACTTGTGGAAGATTGCTCCAAGCCCCAAGGGCAGTACTTACTGGGCACCTAGGGAAGGAAACCCTAGGCGCATGCAGCCTGAGTACTGAAAGAATCACTCCTGGCTCGCGCACCACCTGGAAGACAGTCACCACACACAAGGTACAGTGCTGAAACAATCACTGGAGCCAGAGCACACGACTGTTGCCTATAGCATCAGCCTCAGAACTTAAGGATGGATAGCCGTCGCTGGGTTCTGGGGCTCCCCCTTTCCCCCTCCCGGGGAGGGGGGAGCTGCGCAAACAGCGGCGTGGAGACATGATGTCATGGTCGTTTGCTCGTTTCTTTTAGGGGAGTTCTATCCACTTGTTCGGCTTTTGGTAGCAAAATTTTCACCAGAATAGGGGTTTGTTTTGGGATGCTTACCTTTCTGGGTACCTAACCCGGTCGATGGCAGACATAGAATGCTTCCAACCACACAGTGGTTTCTATAGGCCATTGCTCCCCATACCTCTCTAAGGGGGGCCAGGTTCTGGCTCGTGGTCCCCGGTAGGCCCAAAGAACTCCATTCACATGACTGTTGCCAAAGTCTGACATTAGCATATCAGCCTAGTAAGCTCCCGGGGGCCGAAGGGGCTTCCCCCAGAAAATGTAGTATGCAGATAGTGGTGAAGTGCCACCCCCAGCCAAACCAATCAACAATCACTAAAGGATGTCATGGACGCCAATCAATTCATTTTTTACTAGAAATGAAGAAGGCTTGTTTTGGCTCACCAGGGCCGAAGAACTGAAGGAGGGCCAAATCAACTCCACTGAAGACCACAGGAGATAACCCAGAAAACTCACAAATCGTGAGACCAGGAGTTGACAAAATGCACTACACTCCCCAACAGGGCTGTTGAACTGTCGAAGTGATGAATTGTGAAAGAGCTGGTGTGAATAATCATGAGCAAAGCCATCCTTCTGCGATGCAGAGCAGCATCAATGAGCAGAAAAGGCAACTGCCAAAGGAAGCGCTAGGGCTCGAGCACTTGCCTAAGACCACTCTCCCTCGGGCCCCGAGGGAAAGGGGGAGGGGAGGAACATGACATGGTAAAAGAAGAAATGTTCACAATGAATACCAACAAAACAAGAGGGAAGCTTGAGACTCAGTCGAATTATAGAGATGTTAGAAAGTTCTTTTTTAGTGCAAGAGTGCAGTAGTGGGAAATTGGAATGAACTAATGGAGTAGAAGCAAACTTCATTTATAACTTTAAAAGAAGGTATAATAGGGAAATAGGTCAGGAGTCATTGCATTAAACAAGCAGTGGCTAGAAAAAGTTTTCAAGAGCTAGAGCTTGATTCCACAGGCACAAATAGGGGATTTACACAAAAAAGAAACAATAAGACAAATAAGGGTCCATGCAGTAGTCGGGTTCGTTCTCGACACGATCGAGAATTCCAGATTCAAATACCAGGCGGGGCAGAAATGATTGGGCACATTTCCTTACACCTAGCAGTAAGTAGGTACTCAGGAGTTAGTCAACTTGTTGTGGGATTACATCCTGGGTGGGGTCAATAATTCAACCTTGGGGGGGGGGGGGGGTTCAGACACTCCTGGACGGAGTTAATACACCCTGGCTTCCTGTCCCCCCGACACAATGAATTATTATATTACATTATATAAAAGCTAAAATGAAACTCGGTACAAGATAGTCAATCAAAACAATAATAATACCATCTCTCATATTAATATTAATGTTAAAATGGAAGAAGTTTAATTGAAGTGAACCAAAAGTGAGTTTCAATACAAATCAATCCATTTATTATGAATTTATAGCTTCAAAATAAAATATTATGTTCAATGGATTATCACAAATTTTTAGAAAACTTGTAAAGTTGTTTATGTAACTTAGGTTATATAGTACTGCTCAAATATTAAACAGCTAAATATTGGGTGTTTTGAGTCAAGAATTGAATATAACTTACTGAAATACCATGAAAAATATTGGTAACTACTGTACAAGAGAACTATTAACCACGTCATTACATTTCTGTAAGAGCATATGACTAAATTGTAATTATATTTAAAAAATTAATCATCCAGATTGCAATCAATATTGCATGCACTTGCATGTGCACACACATGCAGGTGTACATCATCTCACTATGTTGCATACCTCAGCATTTCTATAAACCATATTAATTTTGAACAAACTGCAACATTATCTCTAGCACTTTTTGGTTCACATCACTTATGTACACTGCAAGTATTGATTAAGATACTGTTATTTAAAACTGCAGAGCAAATATAAGCTTCCTTCAATAATTAATACATTTTCAAATATTTAAAAACTTGCTTATTTCAATTTCAATGATTCATTTGCTACATAATGTGGCAGAAGAGTATCACTGTATCTTCACAGAACCATTTACCCCATTTACGAGAAGAGGAGGCACCTGCCTCCCAAGAATGGAAGAGTATTACACAGTCCAACAGTTCTTTGTAGAGATAAACTTAAAGCCCACCAAAGTCTTTCATGCTACCTTCCACAACCATAAGTACCACGGTAAGTTAATATCACCCTTATACACAGTTTGGAGAACTGGCTGTATCACTGACAGTAAATTGCTTTCTAAGGAGTAACTAAGAATCAACTGAGCAGTGAAATTTAATATTAAAAAAATATTAGATGCAGGTCCTTCGGGCTCTGTGCTGTTTAAGTACAGGCTGATAAGGCTCTGTTATTTGTACAACCTGTCCTCTTAAAAAGAACGTCGCTTTTGGCCGTTTGCCCGTATGGCCGAATATGGACGTAATTTGAAAATAAAAAAAAATGAAAATAAATTTGAGAATTTTTTTTTCAACAACAGTAAGTTAAGGGTCCTGTGATAGGTTAGTTGGGCAGGAAATTCTCATAAAGTTTCAAAACGGTATGAAAAACGTTAGTGGAAAGAATCCTTTTCTAAGCTTCCCGAGTAAGCCGGACGACTCAAACAGAAAACGGAACAGTACGTCACTTTTGTGAGTCGATTTCATTTCAAATTACGTCCAAATTTGGCTATAGCACGCATACGAGCCAAAAGTGACGTTATTTTTAAGAGGACGGGTTGATTTGTAAACAAGTTAATGGGCACTTAACTGTTTGCTTAGAAGATAAAATAAACTCACTATTTTACTCACATGATTCTGGTTATGCTATCCTGTAGAGAATCCATATACTGTTGTGTAGCACTCCATACTTCTAATCAACTGATTTCAATACTATTATATTCACACTGGTTTTACATAAGTAATTTTCTTCATTTTCCAATGCCATTATATTTCTCAAATATATTTAAATTTGCTTTCGCTCAGATCTAACACACACACACATCAACAAACAATAAATCTTCCCAACATCTCTCTCTCTTAATATCTTCATGAAAGCCTCATCTTTTGCAAGCCAACCTCCAAAAATGATAGAACCTAAAGTGCCGATGGATGGAACATACAAAATATTAACTGTTGCACCCAAAAAGGTCCACATTTTGTACTCTATGCATCTATGCTATAAGGCATAACACCAACTGCAATATCTAACCTGTCCCAGACCGAAATAACTAATCTAAGGTCAGATGTATGCAATCTTAGGCTTAATTAAGCATACACAGTACACGTATATGTACTATACTAGGCCTAAGATAGGTTAGATTTGTTTGTTGCCTTCTTTCTCATGATCCCTATAAAATCAATACTACAAAACATGTTTTTTTTACTGTGGACGTACCATCCATTCCCTATTGGTGCTACTATTTTTGGAGGACAGCATGTATATTTATATTAAGTTGAAGTAAGGTGATATTATTGTGAATGTTGGAGTAAGAGATGAGGGATGCTGGGTGCTGGCATGCGCATTATGATGAATGCATCTGAACCATGTCACACTGAACCATTTCCTGTGGTAACGTCATGTTCACTTTCACAATTTCAGCATTGTTCCATTCTCTGGTCACCTGAAACACAAAATTATCTTGTTGTAATAATGTCTCGGTTCCTTTACCAGATGTAAAAATTACATTATGTAATGTGACCCTATTTGGAAGTCGTGCTAATTCAAAGTTGTAAAGTTTCATGTACTGTACTCACCTAGCTGCGCTTGCGGGGCTGAGCTTCGACTCTTTGGTCCCACCTCTCGACCATCAATAAACTGGTAATTACCTAAGCGTATTTACAGGATGAGAGCTATGCTCGCGGTGTCCCATCTTGCCAGCACTCTGTCATGTAACACTTTGAAACTACTGTCAGTCTTGGCCTCCACCACCACCTTACTTAACTTGATCGAACCATATACACACACCTCAGAGAGGAGTAGACAACACCTGCACTGAGAAGCTCCAGGATAATTTAAATTCCTAAGTATTGTTAGAGCAGGTTGATGACTGTGAGTGGTGTCCCAAGAGACTTAATTGTGTTGCGAGGGTGAGATAACACAAATGTGCAAGGAGGAATGAAAAATTGCTCAAGTAAATGGAGACGACAAAAACCAAGATGGCCACCATCAAGAGGAAAAAACCCACAACAGAGCTCGATTTTGGTTGATTTAATGAGAACAGTATTAGTACGAGTGGTTTCCACAACAAGGGAAGTGGTTTCCAACAACAAGGGAGGTTAATCCCCAGAATCATTGACTGGTTAGTGATGAGTAAAAAGTTCAATATGATTCTTTTAACATCCTTTCTGGCAGGTGCTCCTCTATCCTTTAAAATATGATAATGGGTAGAAATTATTACAAATCAAAATTTATAGTTTCATGCAAAAGATGATTTCATAACATACTGCAAATCATAATCATAACATACTGCAAAGGTCTCGAAGTGGCAGGCAACCCCTAGCAACTGTTGCATTTCGCTTGGTCTTCTTCAGCTTTGTGGCTAATGGTGAGGAGTCATTAATCATTGCCAGTGGGCAATAAGAAGCTGTGTGCGCATTGTCACCTGTTTCACCACATCTAGGACAAGTGTAGTGTCTCAGTGCATCACACGTTAAAACTCCTCTGCGATCCCTGAATTAAAAAAAAAAATCTATACATTAAAAAAATCAAGTTACTCGAATCAATAATTGCAAATATTTCATCTTGAAAAACTAATTGCAAACATCTTCATCTTGAAAAACATAAACTAATAAATGATTCTCAACATGGTTTTATAAATGGCCGTTCATGTTTAACAAATTTGCTATCTTTTTATTCCAGCATAATTGAGGCAGTTGAGTGCTAAGGATTGTGATGTTGTGTACCTTGACTTTAGCAAAGCTTTTGATACAGTACCATAGGAAAGACTAATTAAAAAGATAGAGGCCCATGGTATTGGGGGTGCTCTATTAAGTTGGATTAGCGCATGGTTATACCAAAGACAACAGAGTTAGTATAAATGGGGTTAAGTCAGACTGGGAAAATATTGTAAGTGGAATGCCTGAAGGTTCATTCCTGGGACCTCTGTTGTTTATAATATATATAAATGATTTAGATTCAGGTTTGAGTAGCAACATTTGCAAATTTGCTGATGATACAAAAATTGGTAGGGAAATAAACACGGAAGAAGACTCACTATCACTTCAAGTTGATCTAAATAGGGTTTTGAAATGGTCAAAAGATTGGCAGATACAGTTTAATGCTGATAAATGTAAAGTTTTGAAGCTAGGTAATGATGATAGAGTTACAGGATACGAGCTAGAAGGTGTCGAGATTGCGAAGTTGGATTGCGAAAGGGATCTGGGAGTTATGATTAGTAAGAATTTAAAACCAAAGGATCAATGCATGAATGTTTGTAATAAGGCAAATAGGACACTGGGATTTATTAATCGAAGCGTTAGTAACAAGACACCTGGTGTTGTTCTTCAGCTATATCTTGCTCTAGTTAGGCCCCATTTAGATTATGCAGTTCAGTTTTGGTCCCCATACTGTATTATAGAATGGATATACAGTACTGTATATTCACTTGAACGTGTCCAACGTAGGAAGACAAAGTTAATTCCCCAAATTAGAAACCTGTCATATGAAGCAATATGTCTGATGCACAAAGAAGAATAGTAGTAAGAAGTGTCCACAAAGTGAATATGCAGCTGGTGCCTTTATAGCATTGCTGAGGAATACATAACAACACCAATAATAAGTAAGTATGTTATTATACTCTATTTTGTTATACAGTATATCAGACAAATACATTGTCCAATTGTAATATCTGTTACTTTCACCAATGTCAACAATTTTTTTTTATTTTTTTTATTTTTTTTTATCTGATTTTGTTGCAACCTTTACATCCTGGAGAATGCATACCCGTCCCTAATTATGTGAAGATAGAATTAAATTGGTCAACAAATAAATCATAACTGGCAGAATTTGGAACTATGAATTTTTTTTGGCGGATTTTCACAAATTTCAAACTATTTTCTTCCATCTCTTTAGGTTGTTTTGATGAATAGGTACCAGGTTATGGCTTTATCATTTATATACAGTATACATCTTTATCCCCTAAATAATTATAATTATCTCTCTATTTTTTTGGGGGGGTGGGGGGGAGGGGTATTTTTTCTTGGCTTCATTCCAACACACATTGACCTACAACTTTCACATATTCGAATATGAATGCCAAACAACATTTATTAAAACATACAAGTAAATTAATGAATTAGAATTACCTTATGCATTGTCGATATCTTCAACTAAAATTATCTCTAAAACTAGAGTTTCAACTTTTTCAGCTTCAAAAAATCAAGTTTCTGACCGATTCTCAACATTTTTTACATATAGTATGCGCAGCTGTCTCTTCTACAATCCTATTAGAATGGATTTTTCATAAACCCTAAATGTTTGGAGTTATAATTTTTGTAGTTTGAATTTGGTGCATATGCCATATTGACAATTTTTTTTACAGAGACTAAACTGAAAATCTTTATTCTAAATGTATTATAATGAAGATCATATACTATTCTGAGAGCATAATAACACTTAATGAACAATTGGTGATATTTCATATTTTTGCAGTGAATCTGAAAATCTGAAATTTTCAATATTAAATTTTATAATTATTTTTAATTTTCTTGTTTTTCAAGTTACGTTGGTGATCATTTAGACAAAGTTGGAGCGTTTGCCTAGTACTAGTAGATTATGAACAAAAAATACACACACATACGTACGTACATACATACACACACATATATAGTACATACATACGCCATGCGTAGCTTAAGGGTTAATGATCGACCTTGGTGATGATTTCTTCATCACTTGCTTGTCATTTGTCATCCATATGTATGTACTACTGAACAACTTGCATTGAACACTATGTTTGCACCATTCAGGAATTTGTTAGAATGTACTGCATTTAATTAGAATGTAGTCTCAAAGAGTGCACAAAAGTACACTTACCGGAGGTAATGATTTAAGTATGTTTGGGGCATCTCTCCATTACTCTTACAGAATCCACAAAACATGTCCTGAAAAGAATCAACAAAATGCAGTGCCTTCTCTATTTTCTGAACTATATGTGGCAGTACAGTTGATATATTCAGCAATACAGATGGACATGCAGGATATCCAACAGTACAGCAGCTATTACTGTACACCATTTCTGTCCATGCTCCCCCACCCCTAAAGGGGGGAAAAAAATATTAGCACATGCATGCATTTGTAGAAAGACCAATAAAATCTTATATTTAAAAAATACAACAGTAATTCCTATATATTAATAATTATGCAGCTTGACGTTGGTCTACTATCTCTTGTGAAACAATGTAGTCTTATCACACACTTCAATACAATATTGGGGGGCCTTTGACAAGCTGCCGGCTTCCTGTCCTCATCGAGGCCACTAAGGTATCATAGATGGTATTTCGTTAATGTTCCAGCTTTGGTTTTAAGCAATTGAATTATAGATATAATGAAAGTCAGGCTGACAAGTAAAAGGAGTACAGTATTAGGATAGCTGCCGGTGAGATATGTAGTAACGTGTGTCTGGGTCTCTAGAATTTTTTCAAATAAATATGGGGGAAATGGGTACAAAATAATAGCATTCAGATTGAGATTTAAGTAATGTATCCTACTGTATTATTACATTTCATTTATAATGGAAGAGCTGTGAACCTTTTGAATAATTTTATAAAAATATTCAAAACTTACCTTTGGAAAACTTTCATTACCATTATTTTCCAACAAATCATACATGGGAACTGAATTGCTGCTGTTAGACTTCAAAGTTGAAATCTTGCTATCTGAAATAAAAAGCAGTAGACTCATTCTATGACATACCATGTAGTGCCCAACACCACACCACCTTCAATTTGACTGTAATTTGGTCTATATCTTTGTCTTTCATCAAAACCCCAAAATCCAAATTTTGGTCCAAAAGTTATGCATCCCCCTTATTTTGGCAGGTATGTAAGAACATCCCATTTTCAAATTCATCTCTCTCTCTCTTCCCCTAACTGAGATAGAAGAGTAATCGAGCACATTGCCTGAAACGCTATGCGTACTAGTGGCTTTAGGTATTGTATGTACTACCTCTATCTTTAAATCTAACAGAATGTTTGTACTGTAACACTGCAACTATGTATGTACTGTTCTTAAATAAATTATTATTATTATTCCTAAATAAATTATTATTATTAATTCTTGCACGATATTGTTAGGAAAAACACAAAGTTGATGTAAACAAAAAAGTTATGGCAATTTTTATTTGTAAGGGCAATATTTATAAAATTCATTTTTGAGTTGAGAACAACCATGTGTACAAATGGCAGTCTAGAGATACCCTAGTATTTAGTTATAAATCCTGTAAATACTGATTTGAATACTGTATTAGCAAGTACTAGACTAAAAAATTTAACAAAATTATTCTTCCTCACACCTGCCACACTCTTCCCTCAATAAATAACAGCATTCTTTAAGGATTATCAAGTCAGATTTGTAATTGCCTAAGTGTAGTTACAGGATGAGAACTATGCTTGTGGTGTCCCGTCTTCCCAGCACTGTCATAATGCTTTGAAGCTACAGTACTGATGGTTTTGGCCTTCACCATCACCTCACTTTACGTACCATGTTCCAACCATCTACAGTTAATTAGATCATTTTTAATTCTTTCAAACAATTCACCAGGAAAGAGGAAGAAATGCAGGCGATGAGTCACAATAACGTGGCTAAAGTATGTTGACCAGACCACACACTAGAAGGTGAAGGGACGACGATGTTTCGGTCCCTCCTGGACCATTCTCAAGTCGATTGTGAGTGGTCCAGACTGTGAGTGGTCACAATCGACTTGAGAATGGCCCAGGAGGGACCGAAATGTCATCGTCCCTTCACCTTCTAGTGTGTGGTTTGGTCAACAAGAGGAAGAAATATTTGACATTCAGTACCTTCCCCACTTGGGTAAAAGTAACTCATGTCCTTTTGGGAATAAAGTATGTAATGTGCTATAATCTAGAAGAGTATGAGGAGGTTGCAGCAGTTGAAAAACCCGATTTCAAGAGAGGACACTATGGGGAACTTAGAAAGTTCCTTAAGGAATTTGATTGGAAAGACTTTCTATTGCACAAGGAAAGAAGTAAATGAGATATATGTCAAGTCTTGTGAAATATATGATAAAGGCACAAAAAATGTATTCCAAAACAGAGATGTAGAACTAGGAAACAGGATTGGTTCAACAGTACTGTATTTGCAAGAGGGCCAGAGAACAAAAGACAAAAATGGAATCAATATAGGAAGAGACCAAACCTTCCAAACACACCAGCAATTCAAAGAAGCGAGAAACAACTATACAGCAGTGAGGAGAGGGGGCAGAAAGATATTTTGAGAAAAGGATAGCAGACAGTAAAATATAGTAAAAGAGAACAGGTCTATTCTATACATTCATCAAAAGCAAATTGTAGGTAATAATATTCAGAGGCTGATAATGGGAAACAGATTCACAGAAAAGGTAATGTGTGAAACATTAAACAAACTGTTTCAAAGCGTGTTCTGTTCACACTAGATAAAAGGGCAGCAAAACACTTCGAATGCTTTACATCAGTGTTCACACTTAAAATATTAAATGACATCCCATTACCCACACAAATATTTGAAGGTGATGAGAATGAAGGCAGAAAGATCTCGGAAGAAAAATATCGACTGATCAGCTTGGCATCACACATCTGCAAGCTTATGGAGAGAATCCTAAGAGAGGAAATCATTCACGCTCTCTGAGAACAATCTTGTAAAAAAAAATACAACATGGGATTATTAAAAATAGATCCTGCCTTACAAACCTGCTCACCTTTTTGGAAACGGTAACCAGCTATTCAGACAAAGGACTTCTGATAGATATTGTTCACATAGACTTTGCTAAAGTTTTTGATAAGGTACCACATGCGAGACTAGTAAGGAAACTACATATATGCATGTGGAATCAATGGTAGAATACTAGCATGGATAAAACAACGGTTAAAACAAAGAGTTGAGCTTAATGGGAAGGAATCTAACTGAAGAAATGTGGAGTGGGGTACCACAAGGTGCCCATTTTGGAGCCAAACCCTTTTTTGTTATATACATCAATGACATAGATGAAGATAGAAACCTTATCATAAAATTTGCAGATGATACTAAGATTTATGGGAAAGTGGGAAGTGAAAATGGTATCGAGGCCATACAAGGAGATCTACACGATTCCACAAATGGTCAGAAGACTGGCAAATGCTTTTTAATATTGATAAATGCAAGACCTTGCATGTGGGGCATAACAATCCATGTCACAACTGCTGAATTAACAGCATTACCTTGCCACAAACTGATTAAGAAAAAGACCTTTGAGCCAGAATCCATCATTCACTGAAAGTTGTGCAAGTGAGAGCAGCAGTAAAAAAAAATCTAACTAAACAATAGCAATAATCAAGCATACCTTTGACTTTAAGGAAAAGAAGTTACAGTAGTCATTTAATTGTATAAATCTTCCCCCCCACCTGGATTATTGCATCCAAGTATAGAGACCTCATCTTTAAATATATAGCTTCATTGGAGAAAGTTTAACACCAGGCAATGAAAATAATTCCAGAACTAAGTCAACTCTCATACCAAGACAGATTGATGACCACAGAGCTAACAACACTGCAAACCAGACATGACAGGGCTGATGTCATCGAAATGTTCGAAATACTGAACAATTTTGAGGAGAATGATCCGAACAATGTCTTCAAAAGGTCAGATGTAATGCAAACAAGGAGTAATGGTTTTAAGCTCAAGCCACAGTGTATGACTGAAAGGAGGAGATGCTCTTGCACCCACAGGGTTATAAACCCATGCAACTGCCTACCCGCTGGAACCATAAATGCCCAAACTCCCGCTTGGGAAAAATCATCAGGAAAAATGGGGGAACCTTTGACAAGCTGTTTGGCTTCCCGCCTCATCAAGGCCACTAAAGTGTTAATGACCCTCAGATAAATTCAGGTATAATCATTTTTAATTTTCCATGTTTGCCTTATAATCACAATAAACCTTAAAAGAAATGTCAAAATTTATGATAAAGGATTGTAGCAACCACATCTGAGATGATGTGGCAACTACTTAAATTATCCCCAAGTGTTTCACATTTACAAAATCCCACATAGCACTAATAACCATCTGCAATATATTCTTAGAATAACACAAAATTCAAAATACAAATGACATCCCAACAGATACTAGGCAAGTTTCCCCATTAACCAATTTACAAGCAGCCTGGATCCAAATGAGGCAGGAAGCCTAGTGCTTTAACTCATACTGTATCTAGTGCTACCCAATCCCCCAATATTTGTACCTAAGCCATATTACTTTACCATTGTAATCTTAGATATCATCTGATATCATGGTTGTTGTATTGAGTGCATATTCTACTGAATTATTCCTTGAAATTATCCTAATATTGTGCTTCAGTGAACCAATGTATAACCTTGAAATGTTATCCTAATGTACCTAGTAATCCTTGTTCATTATTGTGTATTGTTATTATTGTGTATTATTCTAATCTGCTTGTGTCAAAATTTCTTACAATGTACCTGTAAACATTTGTTGTTAATCTTACTAATAATTAATCTACTTAAAATTATCTGTACCTGTAAAATAAAGCTGTAAAGTACCTGTAAACATTTTTTGTCAATTTTACTGTGAATTATCTAAAAATTATCTGTTAGTTTAAGGACTTGCCCTAAACGCTATGTGTGCTAATGGCTTTACAAGAATGTAAAATCAACTTAATTTCCATGTTCTCTGTTAACCCCCAATGTACCTTCTTGTATATAAATAAATTAAATAAATAAATAAATAAATAAATAAATAAATAAATAAAATAGCTTGATATTCACTTTATATTCACCTAGTTGTTCTTGTGGGGGTTGAGCTTTGCTCTTTCGGCCCGCCTCTCAACTGTCAGTTACTAACTACAGTACTAACAATTTTTTTTCCACCCCCTTCCCCCCCAGGAAGCAGCCCATAACATCTGTCTAACTCCCAGGTATCTATTTACTGCTAGGTAATAGGAGCATCAGGGTGAAAGAAATCTCTGCCTAGTCCGGGAATCGAACCCGGACCACAGGATTACGAGTCCCGCGTGCTGTCCACTCAGCTATCATACCAAGCAGCAGTAGCATCAAGCAGCTATTAGACCCCTTAACTCAGCTACCAGATATACAAGTCCACCAAAATCACAGCAATGCCACTCACACAAACACAACATGATTTTGGAGCTGCTGACACCAGGTTATGTGCCAGCAGCAACAACACTATGTATGGACTTACCATGAAACACCATATTGTTACACCTTATATATTGATTGACAGTTGAGAGGCGAGCTGAAAGAGCAGAGTTCAACCCACACAAGCACAACTAGGTGAACACCATCTTTCCAGACATCACCATCTCCACCTCATCAGCATCTTACAACTCAACTTGCAACTATGCCGTCAAACCATTCGAACGCCAACCACCGTAAACTAAACTACTGTACATCAAACATTCATCTAAAATAAAGTACTATACTGTACTGTATGTTTGTCACCAAAGTAACAAACTTTACAAGATGTAAATTCAAATTAATCATTTAATGCAAAACACTAAAAACCAACCTAATTGGGTTACTGTAGATAAGTCTGCATGTGTGTTATCAACAGACATTGACGTGACAGTATCACTGCCCGAGACTTTTTGTTCGGTAAGTGCTGCAGAGATCCTGTAAAGCATCCGACTTGTTCCTGAAGTAATTGCTTTTTTCTCCATTTTTCTTATAATTGTTTCGTAAACTTGCTCTAATTTTTTTATATCACGGCTAATAAGTACATCTTTACTTCCATTTTCATTCAGGTCTTTACTATCAATACTCTTGGTCATTGAGAATCTGTGGTTATTCAGTTCTGAGTTGGTATAGTTTTGACTTCTTGAGAGTTTGTGTGACCAATCTGTGACAAAATATAATAATTCATTAACAAGCTAGATAATTGTATCACATTATGACAGAGGGAGTTATCCCTAATTCCCATCCAAATGCTCCTCAATACGACAAATCCTCCACCACAAAAAACCTCCACTAGACAGTGTGACATAGTAATTGCCAGAATTAGACTGGGTTATCTTTAACTATGGCAGGTGGGTGCAAGTAATGAATGATGAACATTCCAATTATAAACTATGTGAACAAGAGCTGGGACATATTCTCCAACATTAATATCTATGATATCACTGTTAACAGGGCATTCTGACCAAATGGCATGAGGTACTCTTGAGCTCTGTAAGTACTTCATACATTCATGAATATTGGAGGATATTCTTGTTCTCTATTCAAGAGTTTGCTAGTAGAAGCTAATGAAACAGTCTGACAGTTCATGTTCTCTCCTTATCCCATGTATGACTAACCATCCTGTGAGATGGATACTGAACTTATAGCTACTTTTTTATCTACACTTTGTAATGTTTCATATATAATAGGGTTGCAACACATTCCTGTGTATACCTAAGCTTGTTAATAAAAAAAAAATTATAATGGATAAAACAATGGTTAAAACAAAGAAAACAAAGGGTCATGCTAAAAGGGAAGGAATATGACTGGAGAAATGTGGGTACCACAAGGGTGGTACTGACCCTTGGGGTACCCGCACTTCCATATTACCCAAAATATATATATATATATATATATATATATATATTTTTTTTTTCCTTGTTTACCATTCAGCACCAACATTATGCCCACCATAATGTTGGTGCTGAATGGTAAACACACAAAAAAATATAAGTTTACTCTGAAATAAGGTCATTTTATAAGGAAATAAGAAAAGGTGGTAGTGGGTGACCGCATAAAGGTCGTTGATTTCAGTCTCTCAATAGACTTTTATGGCTGTCACCCACTACCAATTTCAGTGTTATTTTGTTTTATTCTTTAGTAAAACTATGTTCATGTTCTACATTCACTACCAACATTACAGTAAACATATGTTATATTTCCTCTTTACTGTCATAATTTAAGGAGATTGTGGGTGGCTTTGGATAATTCCCTGGACCATTTACAGTACCAGTCTAGTCCAAACTTTATGATGGGATAGAACTTAATTAAGATGCGAGCAGTGGGTCAGGAGTGTAGTGTGTGGCAGGTGTGTAATTACCTAAGTGTAATTACCTAAGTGTAGTTACAGGATGAGAGCTATGCTCGTGGTGTCCCGTCTTCCCAGCACTCTTTGTCATATAACGCTTTGAAACTACTGACGGTCTTGGCCTCCACCACCTGCTCACTTAACTTGTTCCAACCGTCTACCACTCTATTTGCGAAGGTGAATTTTCTTATATTTCTTCGGCATCTGTGTTTAGCTAGTTTAAATCTATGACCTCTTGTTCTTGAAATTCCAGGTCTCAGGAAGTCTTCCCTGTCGATTTTATCAATTCCTGTTACTATTTTGTATGTAGTGATCATATCACCTCTTTTTCTTCTGTCTTCTAGTTTTGGCATATTTAATGCTTCTAACCTCTCCTCGTAGCTCTTGCCCTTCAGTTCTGGGAGCCACTTAGTAGCATGTCTTTGCACCTTTTCCAGTTTGTTGATGTGCTTCTTAAGATATGGGCACCACACAACAGCTGCATATTCTAGCTTTGGCCTAACAAAAGTCATGAACAATTTCTTTAGTATATCGCCATCCATGTATTTAAATGCAATTCTGAAGTTAGAAAGCATAGCATAGGCTCCTTGCACAATATTCTTTATGTGGTCCTCAGGTGATAGTTTTCTATCTAGAACCACTCCTAGATCTCTTTCTTTATCAGAATTCTTTAAAGATTTCTCACCCTGTGAGGAGGGAAGAGTGACAGGTGTGTGAGGAAGAACTTACCAGTGTGAGGAGGGTGAGGGTGTTGAGGGAAGAGTGGTGAGGAAGAACTTACCAGTGTGAGGAGGGTGAGGGTGTTGAGGGAAGAGTGGTGAGGAAGAACTTACCAGTGTGAGGAGGGTGAGGGTGTTGAGGGAAGAGTCTGGCCACCTCAGCAGGGAGCCAGTTGGCCGAGGGCGGGGGAGGCAGGTCCAGCTCCCACAGCCCCCGGCCACCAGTCCTCCTCCACGCTGTATTACCCAACATATCACTTCACCTCACACACACTTGACATACACTTGACACACACACTCAACTGTTCACACGTGCAGGTTATCCAGTCTAAATATGCAGGCCCACGAGGTATACTGATCAACACGTGTCCGTGCGCGGGTCACCAGCGTCAGCACTGCGGTTGCCTACTCTTAACCCTCCCATATATACCACCACTATATAAAATGACATTGGGTTATATTTATTTATATATATATATATATATATATATATATATATATATATATATATATATATATATATATATACTACAAACTGATGACGAGGGTTGGTTTACAGTGCTTTGCCGGTAACTGCGCTCTATGGTGTAGTTGTTAGAGCAGTGGCGAGCTCTAGCTCCACAACCCGGCGCTCTATAGCTGGGTCACTCAACTTTCAGACTCGGGCCACCGGCTGGTGGTTATAGCTTATAACTAGGTTATAGGTTATGAACAATGGCTGGACAAGTGTAGCCTCTACCACTGCCCACGCTATCTTCACCCACGACCACCCTTCACACCATTATACTAAATCCAGGCTAACACGCCATTAAAGGTCCCAATATATGGAATTTACTTCCTAATGAATTACAAAGTTGTCCAACCTTTTGTTTTTTTTACATATACAAGAGTTCTTACATTCTTGTTCAGCACGCATAGCGTTTCAGGCAGGTCCTTAATCCTCATTTACCCCGGAATACGACCTGCCAAATCGTTTAATAACCCCATTTCTGTGCTGTCTCACGTGGTGTTGTGTTTAGTTTTTAGTTTAGTTCATTTATTATGCACCCCATACCCATCTTGTGAGCGGTAGTGGAAAGGGTTACACAGGCACATAATGGGCTCAGGGACTGAACCTCACAATTCATTTAGCTAAGCAAGTTACAGTCTTGATGAGCTAGTTACAAAATTTAATATAAGTCGTCACATCAACAATGGGTTCGAGATCGACCACAAGTACAGTTTCTAAATTAAGCAACTGACATATGTGGAGAGTTAGTGTCACAATTGATGTTTGTCCTGCACACCGCCCCCCATCCAGTGGGCAGCGGTGGATAGGTTACAATCACTTAGTTACTACCTACAGTTAGCAAACTGGGAATATTTGGCTAAAATTTCTGGTAGCAGATCATTTGGAATGAAATATTTACACATCGTTGGAACATTGGTTATAGAATTGTCTCTAAATTCACGTATCTTTTCGCACTCCATCACATAGTGACGGAGGGTGTGCGAATAATTTTGTTGACACAGTTTACATTGGGTCAGGTCTACATCAGCAGATAATGAGAATTCCCAGAGATACTTGTAACAGTCTAAGCCGAGCAGTAGTAACATCTAGAAGTCTGCTGGTTTTATTGGATGATCCATAGATGCGTGGCTTCTCTTGCATAGTATGATGATAGATGGAATTACTGGTGTCGATTTCACTTTGCCTCAGATCTACAAGATCTTGTTGAAGCAGTCAAGCCAATCTTAGTTAATATTTTTTGTTTTGTTTTACTGCCCTAGTGAAATTATCTCATGATAAGTTTATTTTGGTTAACTCTCTCCAGGTAATATTCGATTATTCCCCCATTCTTTGATCTCTCAAAGCCACAAATACCCATAGCGTCTGGGGCAGGTCCTTAATCTAACATATCAGATAAGATGAAAAAAGTATATTGTAGCAAGGTTTAGATCAACAAATAACTACAATATAAACTGAGGTGATTAGACTGGTAAAGATGTGTCGTAAGTACTAATATTGGAGGAAGTGGGTAGAACAAGATAGTTTGAATCACAAGGTAGGACACTGAGGATGAAATTAGGTACTTTTTAGTTTTACTTTTGAATAGGGCAAAGGTTGGACATTTTTCTAATTAAAGGAGTGAGTTCCAAAGACTGGGTCCTTTTATTTGCAGATTTAGTTCGACTCTGAAGATATCAGATATTTATTTCTGTTGTGTGGTGCTCAAGGGTTCTCATAGGTTCATGGAAAAGTTTTAAGTGAAGATTAGCATTTAGGAACATTTAGAAACAAGGTTTTGCACCCGAGTGTGGTGTGTATGTGGGACTTCAACAGAGGGGCTGTGTGTGTTGTCAGAATATAGAGTTTGTTATAAGTCGGTTAGCAGATACTTGCAGTGATGATGGGTTTGAGGTAGTTTGCGGTGTTTGAACCCCATGCACAAACCATATGTAAGATAGGGATAGATTAGTGCATAGTATGAGAGAGCAGAGTGGGGGCAGTTTAGTTTAGTTCAATTATTATGCACCCCATACCTATCCTGTGGCAAGTAGTGGAAAGGGTTCCAGGGACTGCTACAATGAGGTTGCAGAGTTCCTCATAGAACTTTTCCTTAATGTCATCTGGGTTGGTCATGGTTGGGGTATACTCATTGATCAGCATTGCACTCTTCTTACCTAGAGGGTCATGAGAGTACAAAATCAGGAGAGTAAAGCACAAAATCTTATTCAAAATGACATGCAAAAAACTTTTCTAAGCACATGTATAGTGTTCACATAATGCAATATAGACCCTATTTCCTTGATTCTATTGCTTTCACAGAGCAGTTGAATTATTAAGCCATAACATGTTCAATTTTATATTAAATGACCAAAAACTCTCAAGCCACTGCAATCACATTACACAGTAAAGGATTAAAAATGTACAAATGAAGGTTAAATAAACCATACAACTGACAAGAGACTTTAATGTTTCAAAGGGTAAGGGATGCGATGTAATACATACAATATAATGGAGCATGTTACCAGATTAAAGAAAATCTGTTTTACTAAATGTGCTAAAAACATAAAACTAAAATGAAACTTTAAACCAAATTATCTCTAATAGGAATAAAGTATACTGAAACAAATTTCATACAAAATTAAATTGAACTTTACCTTTCAATAGCATACAATTAACATAATTGATATTAGTATTGAGATTTCATTGTAATGGAAAAAATATTTCAGTTTTGTAATTGGAAGGAATAATAGCAGTCATTTAGTAACTATAAAGTATGCCGATGAAAAAGTACAAACTAAAATGGTCAAACGTGGATGAAGAAATTCTCGAGCCATTTACATTTTCATTGTGAAATCACAGCAACTATCAGGCATTGATAAAAGTTACACATGCCATAACTGGTAAGGGGGCACCGATTTTCTCATTTAGAAATCACGCCGATGATATCTATCTGGATCAAAGTAAGATGTGACAACTACACGGTTTGCAAACTTGCGTCCAGTAAGGTTTTGCTGTGCTTTCTGACAATCCAGTACTGAATTGAACTCTACAAAAACCTTGCCAACCCCCGGAACTTCAACTCCTTCAACTGGCCGCGGAATTTCAACTGATCGCACAATACCATATCGGCTACATTCCTCACGAATATCCTCAAGGATGTCCTCGTACTCTTCATCGTCTTTAAGCTCATCTGGCATTACCTGAAAAATATAAAATATTGGAATAAATTGACATTTTACTGTAGTTGTACAGTATTATGAACAAATCACATTGCAATTTATTCTAAAATTGTAATTTTCGTGGGATATTTAAATAAATTATAATTTACACTTGATATTTATATTAAAATTGTCATTTCATGAAACATTAGCAAGGAATAAACTGCATTTCACTTGAACACCTTGACAAAATTTCACCGCCATTGTATATAGCAACATGTTTTGGTACAACTTTGTATATCTATCTATACTATAAGAATGTCTGTCAAAGTTGGAGGCTATATTCTTGTGGCCTAGCCTCTCCCAACTTTGCAGGGAAAGGGAATGGTCTGGAATAGGAGTTTACTTATTTGTATACTAAAAGGTACATTGGGTTGTGAAAGTACAAACAAATGTTCTTGTAAAGCCACTAACCCACATAGCACTATATGACCTAAACTGGATGAATGGGTAGAACATGATAGCGAGTTATTAGCACAAGGTGGAAAATTGATAATGAATTTGGTACATTTTTGGTTCTACTTTTGAATGAAATATAGGTTGGACCATTTTTTAATTCATTTAGGAAGCAAGTTCCGTACACTGGGTTCCTTTATTTCCATGGAGTGTTTGCACAGATTTAGTCTGACTCTAGGAATATCCAAGATGTAATTATTTTTGATGTGCTGCTCATGGATCTGGGATTACAAAGAACATCTTAGATCAGGTTTAGAATCAAAGAATAAGGTTTTGAAGTGAAAATAGCACAAGAGAATGTGCTGAGTATATATTAAGGGATTTAAACAGAGGGAATTTGTGTTTCCAAAGACAGTTTCTTATTGTTCTGATAGCAGATGTTTGCTGGGTGATGATGGGCTTCAGGTAGTTTGCAGTGCACAGGTACTGCATGTTAGGTAGGGACAGAGCAGAACAGGGAACTTAATACTGTATCAAATTTTGAGATTATACAAACAATTTTAGATTTTTTTTTGGCTGTGTTGTATGCGAGTACTGAAATTTAGTTTCGTGTCTATGTATATGCCAAGGAACTTTACCTTATTTTTACTGTTAACGATGACATTGTCTCATTGTCTAAGGTGAATTTGTTTTGATAATTTTCTTCCAAATAAATAGTAGTACTGTATGTCTTTCCTACGTTTAGTGATCTTGTGTGTTGTTTGACATCTATGAGTTGATTAATTTTAATTCATTATTTATAATAGGTTGGTTTGGGTAGGCCTAAGTAAAATGCTTTAGGAAATATTAGCTTTTATAAAGACCTGTAATTCTCATGAAGTGTAAAATATTTGGTCAAGATTCCTATAGCACTTTTATTGATCATAATATATTCTGAGAGACCCATACAATTGCTTCAAGTGCTTAGTATATTTTCTGGAAGAACAAAAAGGGGAGAAAGGGGTAAAGTGGAGCAGGGGAAGGGGAAGAGGCAAGGAAACCTAGGGGTCAAGAGGAAGATGGTGTGAAGCATGGGGAAGACCTAGTTACAGCCTAGTATTCCCTTCTATATATATTAATGCAAACAGATCTGCTTGAGGATGGAGGTCAGACAGGGAAGATAGAAAGGCAAGAGTAGTGTCATGCAATTACCCTTCTCATGCTGGGTAGTAACTACTACTTCTGCAGTCAACGTTATTATATTTTTGGTGTGTAAATCTGGGCAAATTTTGATTGTTAAATAAATAAACTGTAGTCCTGTGTAACACAATCGTATATTATCACTCAAGAGCACTGCACCTCTGCAGTTGACACCATTAGTTTACTTGCAGGCTGACAGATGATGCACAGGGCACTAGATAATCTCAGGAGTAGCACGAGCCCAGACCTTCAGTTTGCTCAGGCACTCTGCTCGGGTCACGTCTAGCTCTTGATGACTTGCTAAGACAGCTCATTATGGTGTTAGGTTAACCTTTAGCCCTTTGCTTTTATTACCTTGTTGCATCAGTCATTGAGCTGAAGTCAGTGTTAATCATTTTAGTTTATTTTATATCACTTCAAGTGTACACAGCTAGATGTACATATTAAGGTGTTAAAGTAGCTTTTATTATTATATTAAATTTAAATTATCTTGCCTTTTTAAGAGTTTTTTTGACTTGACCAGTTTCTCAGTCACATTGCAAAGGCCATGAAGTTTATAAATTTATGCTGCGTGAGCATACCATCTGCTGGGTATAACTGCAGTACCTTGCCTCACAAAACATTAGGGAGATGGGGATGAAAGTGGGGAGATGCAGATGATAGGGGAGGGTAAGGAGATGGGGATGAAGAGTGGGAGGTACAAAGATTGGGAAGAACGTAGAGAAATGAGGAGGGGGGAAAAGGTAGGGAGGTGAGGAGGGGGAAGAAGGTAGGGAGGTGAGGAGGGGGAAGAAGGTAGGGAGGTGAGGAGGGGGAAGAAGGTAGGGAGGTGAGGAGGGGGAAGAAGGTAGGGAGGTGAGGAGGGGGAAGAAGGTAGGGAGGTGAGGGGGGGGGGGGAGAAGGTAGGGAGGTGAGGAGGGGAGGGGGGGGAGAAGGTAGGGAGATGCAAATGAGAGGGGGGGAGAAAGAAGGTAGGGAGAAGATGGGGAGGGAGGGAGGTAGGGAGAAGGGGATGTGGGAATGGTTGTAGAAAAAATACATGACTAACAAAATAAGAACTGCCACTGAATACACCAGCACTAAAAAATACACTTACCATATTCATGAGGCAGAGAACTTCTGTAGCAGGCCCTGAGCCACTTTGCAGCTGCAGGCCAGGAACCTGGATCTGCACTGGAGCTTGAGCCATGGCATTAGCATTCTTGGCTCCTACACTTGCACGTTGCACCACTAACTTCTTGTCTCCTAGCTGCATTCCATTTAGTCCATGGATGGCCTAGGCAACACATTAGTAAAATAATACTTTAATGGATTTTGTATAAACCATTCGTAATCTACAAAACATAAGTCATCTTAAAATGGAGGCTAAATGTACAGAAATTATAGATTATAGAACAGCATCAAAACGAATCTTCTTACCTGATCAGTGAGACTGACATCTACATATTCGCAGAAGGCATAGCCCTTAGACAGTCCAGTAGCAGAATCCTTGACCAGGTTAAATGCTCGTAGCTGACCGAATGACATAAGCAGCTCTTTAACCTGAAATGATTATATCCACAAATGGCTCAAAATAAATAAAAAAGAATTACAAAATATAAATAATAAAAAACCATTTTCAGATGTCATAGCATATTACGCATACCCAATAGAGGAATACTAAGACTTAAAAACAACAAACCTAAACATGAAAGACCAAATCCCTGTTCAGCCAACGCTCCCACTTGCAATCACACGACAGCCTAAGGAAAGGCTTCTCTAATTCACAACCTAAGGAAAGGCTTCTCTAATTCACAACCTAAGGAAAGGCTTCTCTAATTCACAACCTAAGGAAAGGCTTCTCTAATTCACAACCTAAGGAAAGGCTTCTCTAATTCACAACAAATTTCACAATTCATTGTCACCTTTATCCGAGGAATAACAATAATAATCAGAAAAAAAGCAATATGCCCTCTATATGCTGTGCTACAGCCAACAATTCAGACACATTTGCTAGCAGGTCACACTAAGTAAACAAATAATTGCCATCATAATTCACACTGAACTTCATCTGAATATGCTGCAAGTGTGATAATGGTGGTAAGTGCCAATCATCATGATTATTCCAAGAAACTATTTTAGAAGTATACATCGTTGCACTCTTGGAAATGTTTACTATGCTTACAAGGGAGATAAAACACTGAAAATTGTCAACTTAAGGTAACGATTCAGTACATGACAAATTAACTTCCAAACTTCCAAAATTACAGCAAACAATTGAATTATGCTTTAATACACTTCACCAGGCTAAAGCCAACTACCATACCACATTAACTCCACTTTTCCACATCTTATATTTGTCCTAGTCCAAAAATTGTTACATACTACTATAACAAATCTTCATTATCCACTTCATGCTTCAATATTCACAGAACTGGAATCTGTTTTAGCAAACAAAACTGAAGGTGCCAATTGTGTTCCACCTAGGAATGAAGATGAAACAGGGGTCCAGAGACTGGAAGATAGCTATACCCTAAGAGGAAGGCAAAACGTGAATGGGAAAGACAGTAGACACCACCATAGGTTAACTTCAATACCAACACAGGAGGCAAAAACAGGAAATCGGCAAACGTACAAACGCCCTTTAAAACCCCAAACAATATACACAGGCTTTGTCAGACCAATAATAGAATAGAGCAAGCATGGAATCCACATCTTATTAAACAAACTAGAACAATATAATTGAGATCTTTCCTAGCTCAATATCATACACACATTATATATGATGTGTGTTTGAGATCTCCCTCGAATAGCTGAGATCGATGAGTATAGCAAGAATCTTCTATTTTTTTTTTTTTTTTTTTTTTTACATTTAACTTCACTCGAGAAAAAAATTTGAAAAATTTACTTGCCAAAGTTCATTTTTACAGTTTTATTTGGCATGACTAAGAGATGCATTTCATTAACTCTTGTTAACATTGCCAAAGGCAGAGTTCAAATGATTAAAAGGTTTCTTGCTGCATGATATATACTGTACCTGGGGACGAGGTGCTTTACCTTCTTGTAGGTCTATTATATCTTAATCTCCTGTTTGTATGATGGCTGGGGCAGTATGTTGTATGTTCCATGGTGATCTGGAAACTGGCATGGTGTAATTTGGAGCTACTTGATGCATGGTTTGGTTTGCTCGATATATAATGCCTCACTAATATCCAGTCTTCTGTTGTATCTGTCGATTACTTTATTGTGGTGGTTTATGAGAATAAATCTGGTGATGTTTTGGTTATGTATAAAGACGATGTTCCTTAAGAGGGCCTTACTGCTTATGAATTTTACATGTAAGGGATGATGATAGTTGTTGTCTTGCCTATATACTGAATTTGTTAGGGATAACAGACCCCAAGTAGGCAAGTTAAGACATAGATGACATTTGTCTCTCACAAAGGGTTTAGTTTGGTATCAGGGGGGAAAAGACAAACCATTAATAACTCTTTTGACACCAAACAAAACCTCTTGAAAGAGAATTATCATCTATGCCTTCACAAGCCCACTTGGGGACAGTTCACCAACAAATTCAATATATAAGCAACACAACATCCTTTTCAAGATGCCTAACATGCACAACCAGCAAGGCACTACTGAGGAACATAGTCTATACATAACAAAACCATCAGAGATATCCTCATAAACAACAAAATAATCGACAGATACTGCGGCAACAGACTGGATACTGGTGAGGCACTATACATCGAGCAAACCAAGCCATATATCAACAGCCAAATTAGCACCAAATTACACTGACAACTTCCAGAACTCACTGGAACATAGAATATACTGCCCCAGCCATCATGCACGAACAGGAGTGACAAGCTACAATGGACCTGTAAGTGAGGTACCTCACCTTCACCTCATCCTCGGGTATATCATGTAAAACCTTGTAATCATTCAAACCCTCCCTTTGACAATGTTTACAAGAGTTAACACAATGCATTTCTTAGTGCCATGCCAAATAAAACCTGAGAAAATAAGCATTGGAGTAAATTTTTCAACTTCCTTCTCAAGTGAAGAAAAAGTAAGGAAAATAGAAACAATTCATTCTAGAATCATTAATCTCATTCTTTGTCACAATACACACACATACATATTTATATATGCTTGTATTCTTGGGCAGCAGGCATTCATTTAAGCACATTTGGTTAAATATGACCACTTGCTGGTGTTGTTGGTCTTATAGTATAAGCTTTCTATGCTGAAACTATTTTCTTACTCAGAAGATTAAGAACAGCAATCAAGTAACCAAAATTCATGGTAAAGAAACTAATGATTATCAAAAAGTGCATTTTCTACAACATTTCTTTCTAGTCTGAAAAATCTTCAGGTAAAGAATGAATATACAAGGTGCAAATTTATTTTTAATACACATGTGAAAAGTGAAGTAATCACACAGGTAAAGAAATTGGGAAATAATTGGGAGTATGTCACTCAAACACTGGGTAAGGAGGTGGACGGGATAATTCTGAAGGTATGTCGTTATCCAGCGCTGTATAGTGAGGTCTGGATTTCAGCGTAGGAAAGGTATCGAAGTCATTATTCTATATGTATGTATGTATATACACACATACACACACATATATATATATAGAGTAATGACTTCGATACCTAACCTACACAGAAATCCAGACCTCATCATACAGCACTGGATAACGACATCTCCACAGAGTTCTTACCTAATTGGCATCTTATTCCCCTATATCTTTACCCATGTGTGATTACTTCACCTTACCCCCCCCCCCCAAGCCACCACAACTTCACCTCTTTACATGTGTATTTTAGATACATTTGCACAGTGTGTTCACTCCATACCTGAAAATGTTCCAGAGTGGAATGAAGCGACGTAGAATATATACCCTTCAATAATCATAAGTTTCTTTACTGTGAATTTTGATAACTTGATTGGTCTGCTTAATCTTGAGAGCAAGAAAGTAATTAGAAGCATTGAAAGCTTATACTATAACATCAACGACACCAACAATGTACAGGTAGTCATATTATATTATCTTTATTTATTATTTACACTTTTACACACACACACACACGAGCTAGCTAGTAAGTAGACCACAAAATACCTCCAAAAATCACCTGAAACACTCGAGAAAAGTTAAAGAAACAAAATATTTACTTCGTGTATTTTCAACTAGTTCATTCTGCACCAACAGAGTTTTGTATCATGCAGCTCCCATATATATATATATAGACAAAAATTTTGAGTGGGCAATAAAGATAAATGTCTGGATACATCCATTTCTTCTCGTTATCCAATTCACCTCACAAAATTTGGTACAAAATGAACAACAAATAATACATTTTCCTTTTCAAATTCCCCGAGGAGGAGAAAAAACGGAGAAAACCTACCTTTCGACTGCACCTACCTAGATTAGTCACCGATTTTACATAAACTTGCTTGGCCCTAATATTCTCAACTAGATTAAGTCGTTGCTTTAGGTGTAAATGACTACGTCAAAATGTGCAAGGTTATTTTGCTCTTGCAAGACTTACCTATTCATCACAGGAACCTCGACCCTAAAAAATTGGTGCGCCAACATACGACCAAAAGACTGAAACTTGCCTTGGTCAGGACGGTTCATTATCATATGCATAGTGAGGCAGGCTTTATCATGGGCAGTACAAATGGGCCGCTTAGGGCATTCAACCACGAACCCTTCGCTAGGGGAAACAAATGGGGGAAGAAAGCAAAAAGACAGGATGAGTATAATTGAATTCCAAATGGATGGCTATACACGTCTTAATCAGATATGAAGAATGTTATTTGTATTCCCCTCTCGAAACTAAGGCCCATGAGTATTTCCCTGTAAAATTCTGAAAGAGATCCCTGAAAGAAAACCCTGAAAAAGAGCTCTGAAAGAGAACTCTGAAAGACAACTCTGGAAAAAGACAACACAATTGCACAATCTGTCCAAACAAAATTTCAAATGGCTTTAAAAAAAATAAAAAAAGGCTTATTCTACTGGGCTTTCCAAAAACAATTTTGTTCAGACGGGCTTTGTGGAATCTGCAAATTTATCTTTAGGTAAACATATACTGTGCTAGTTGGAAAGAAGCCCCTATTGTGAAAAGATGTTTGAGGCATTAAAACTGTGCTTCAGCCCAAAAATAGTGCCTTGTCGCTGCAGTGACAGTAATACGATATGTGACGTCAATTCAAGCCATAGCTGCGATGCATCCACTTCCTTTAAGATGATATTTGGCGGGAAGGCGCTGCCCGCTGCATCTAACCTGTCATGACCTGTGAGAGCCTGTAAGAGATGTGCCGGTACAGAGCCATCCTCACTTCATGTGAACCAACCTGACCCTCAAATTGTATACAAATCCAATAGCTCAAATATAGAGCTGCTTGGCCCATAAGCCAATACTCCTTGTCAGGGCCCAAAAGCAAATACCACCTGCCTCTATTAGCACACATCTTAAGAACTGGTTTGAGTTTCTCTTAACCTAATAAGCATAAGAACACAAGAATCAAGGAAATTGCAGAAGGCCTATTAGCTCCTATGTGGCAGATCCTATTTATATCCACCCAAATTCACTACGCTTGAAACCTATCAAGGTCTAATATCTAACCTAAGCTTGAAACAATCAAGGGATCCTATGTCTTATGTTACCCAGTAATTGTTTCCAAAAATTGCCAACCCTGTTACCGAACCAGAAGCTACCCAGGTCCTTCCTAAATCTATACTTATTCAACTTGTATCCATTGTTTCGTGTTCAAATATGTGTTGATATATTCAATACCTTACTAATATCCGCTCTATTATGCCCATTCATCCATTTGCTCACTTCAGTATGTCACCCTTAACTCCTAACACACCTACATCTGCCTATCTGACAATTTCAAAACCCTATTTACATCATTTTGAAGTGTTAAGTCTTGTGTTTATTTCCCTCCCGCTTTTCACATCGTCAGCAAATTTGCAGATAGTGCTGCTCAAACGTGAATACAGAGCCTTGAGGCACTCCACTTACAATATTTTCCCAATGTGAATTAAGTATTTATACTGTTTCCTTAGGTATAACCATGCCCTAATCCAATTATTTAGTCCCCTAATATCGTGAGCCTCCATCTTTTTAGTCAATCTTTCATGTAGCACTGTATCACCTTCGCCAAAGTCAAGCACTGGAAAATAACTTTCACAAACACATGCAAATATTAGTAAGTAACCCTGAACAGTAAACACAAGCACACAATTACTGCACGACCACTACTAGCTGAAAATAACATTCATTTTCCCCCTACACATGTAGTACCTTTTCATGGTTTAATCCATTATTAATACCACTATATAGATCCCATTTGAATCTTACCAGTGGGCTTAGCAGTATAATTTTTATTAGCAGATTGGTAATACATTTTTTTCTAAAATATTTTGTACACAATTGCATTTATGTAAAAAATTGCAGGTTTCTCTTGAGACATCACTGAAAGAGAAACTCAAATATCACTGAAATATGCCATAGCAACATTAAGAAAGAACTGTCAGTAGTAAGACAATGGAAGGTAATGAAATATTGTATGTACTATGCGGAACAGTAAAGAGAAAATCTTCAATATGGTGAAGATCTATCCCCACTTGCAATTCTTGCAAGCATTCATTATTTTCTATCTAGTATACTTAAAACCTAAATTATGAGTTGCCATTTTTTATTAAAATTAAGTAGCGAGTTACATATTTGCTCAACATTCTCATTTAATACTTTCAGATCATTCAATTGAAAAGCTAAATTATTTTCCCATAGAATCTTCACTATACATCCTATTACCCAAGCACATACCAGTAAGTAATCTGTTAAATGAATCAAAACCAACTACAAACCATTTCATTAAGGAGTGTACTATCTCAAGATACCCGAGGCAGGTGGTGGTCTACAAAAAATTTCGGGCCCTGATTATTACACATTTTGACCTGCACCAATGTCGTTATTTTTTAATCGGAGCCATCTTTATGACACTCGAAGTATTTAATAAAGTGAAGGTGCATGTTGAAAGGTGAGGAGATAAGCAGAAGGTTACCCAAGGTATCTAACAAGCTGCTTTGTTCACCTTCAGCTGAAAAGTAGAACACAGATTTTGAATGGAAAAAAATTCTGAATAGAAGACTTTCAGATGAACTACAACTGATCACAAATGTTAATTTAGGAATGCATTTTAATATTTCCAAGATCGTCTCATGAAACAGCTTACTCAGAATTTTTCCAAGCAAAAATTGAATATCACTTACCTTCCACATCATCATACATCATCATGAGGAACCCATCAATCTTCATCTTTCATAACAAAATTAGTACTACTTATGATGTATGAGAACAAGAATTTTTGACTGAAATTTCAGTCTTCCACTATCCTTTTATGTTTCAGTCCAAATCGACTCGGTTCATAATCAACTATATGAGTGACCAATGTCAACTCAGCTGACAAAGGAGTGACAATGCAACTGGTATGGCAAAATGAATGACACTTTCCAGTCATGAGTAAGAGCACTGGTGAATTCATATTTTGTGAATTCAAGCATTTATGTCAATGTTGCTCAATAAAGACTATTTCCTTAGAGACGTTTCACAGCCTAACACGGATATGTATAGCAATAACGTGTCAAGTCAAAATTTGAAAGAGCAACTAGCTAAAAATGGGAAGGAGACAATACCAAGACGACCCCAAAATTCAGATGAAAAACACCTGCACGGAGTTTCTAGGTTTGTTTTGGTCAGCAAGCCTATGTCAATGCTTTCCACCCCCAATGGGAGTAAATGTTGTACGACAGGAACATACCTGATCTTCATTGAGGTAGTTAGGCAGTCCACCAATGAAGATCTTATGAGGTGAATCAGGCACCACAGTTGAAACCACACCTGCAATAACTGTGGAAAAGAAATTCTGTAAAATCATATTTCTGAATTCAGCTTTACCAATATATTCAAGTCTTTATTACCACAAGGAAAAAAATTATCAAATTTCATCACTGTTTACTTAATGCAAGGAACGGAAAAAAAGTCGGAATACACACAGACATACTTCATGAACTTGCCTTAAATGACTGCATTATGATTTTGGTTTAAATAAAACTAAATATATTTATTAGCAACAGTAGTCCATCATTCATTAAAGGTAAAAATCAGAGATGGAAATAGTATGTAATAAATAAAACTGCAATGACCATGTCAACTAAATTTTTGTAAATGCTTCAATTGGAATACAAAATGATTGATTCAAAAGTGCAGCCATTTAGACAAAAGCTTCATTCAGTAAGCCTGGTGGACTCCCCGTGTTTCATACCTGGGATCTGTGTCGTACCTGGCATGGTAGTTAGAGTTGGATGCTCTGACATGCCTGGCATTGGTTGGTAATCATGAGGTCGTCTGATTTTTAAACTTTGCCCTTTAAAATTAATACCATCAAAAGCAATTGCTTGAGTTGTTTCATCAATTGATCTGAATTCCAAGAATGCAAAATTCTTGTCAAGATTGACCTGCAGTGAGGAAAATTAATGCACATCAAGCTATGCAAGATACTTCCGACTTACCTACAAACAATTCAAGTCAAGCTAAACTTGAAAATGCACATATGCACCCAAATGCCAATGCAAGTTCAAGTACACAAATATTTTTACATGTAGATATCTCAATGTGTGCCTTCCCAGCTTACAATCACAGCCAGTGGAAGCCACAAGTCATTGTCAGCAATATCCTTAGTTTTTATCTATTAAAATTCTGAAAAATATAGACTAATTTAAATAAAAATATTTTTCCTAGTCTTATAAATATACAAAAATTTAATGAGTCACACTGAAAAAACTTTGACCAACACATGCATGTACATACAGGTATACATACTGTACATGTATACAGTATAGAGATGTCATTTTCCTTAACTATATATCACTCTTTACAGTATTAATTTATATATTATAATTACAGAAAACTAAGAATTAATAAGTGCTAATATTTGTTTAATTTGAAATAATTTTATATTGCACTGCAATCTCCCATCTTCCTTGAACCCATATTGATGCATTACTAATTTGTTTCAGTATTGTGTATCTTACTACTATCTCGTTGCTGTGAATGGTACACATTTCAGTGTGTATGATATTTTGGGAAGCACACCAGTAAGATGGTAAATTGGAATATGCACAAAACACTTTCACGTAATAACTCTAGTACGAGATGTACGAGAGGTACCAGGAACCACACCAGGAGCCAGGAGCCTTTGGAAGATTCTGTGAGAATGTCTGGGAGTGAAGGGGTCTTGGCCTTACCACCAAACTGCAGGGCTACTGTTCTGTGGTACTCACCACCCTTCTCTATACCAGTGTGACCTGGGCTGTCCACAGCAGACACGTCAAACAGCTCAATCACTTCCACTTGAACTGTCTCTGCAGACTTCTCCACACCAGGAGGAAGGACAAAATCCTGGACACAGGTTCTGGAAGGTGTCAGTTTTCCCAGTATCTACACCCTCCTACAGAAAACTGAGGCCAGATGCTCAGATCATGTCAGAATGTCTGACAGCCAATTGCCAAAACAGGTGTTGTAGGGAGAATTATGTCAGAGCACATGTTCAGTTGGGAGGCAGAAGAAAAGATTCAAGGACTGCCTCAATGTGACTCTGACCTGGACATCAACCTTAGTACTTGGGAGTCGCTTGCTCAGGACCGTCCAACTTGGAAAATCAAAGTCACCACAGGGGCCCATGCTGCAGAGAATAGCTAGACCGCAGGAAAAAGAACATTTGGGAAATTTTTACCCACCATATCTAATAATCATCTAAGAAATGTATAATTTCTATATCATATCTAAATCATATCAAAATCATATCTAAATCGTATCAAAATCATATTTGAATCATTAAAGATTCATTATAGCTTGATCCTGGATGACAATGGCACCATGAACACGTACGCAACAGGGGCCCTTTTGATGCCTACGTGACTTTGTACATGATCTTTCAAGGATCCAGAAGCTTCTAGAAGGACTTCTTAATTAAAAAACTATTGGAACATTGATTCAACATCCGGTAGGATTAAAAATCGAATCCTTAATAAGATTCAGTGGTACTTTCAAATACTACTTATAATCTTTAAATCTTATATCTAATTATATTATAATCACATCTTATCTTAATCATAAGTCTAGACTGTAAAAATAATCGATCAATATTCATTGAAGGCTACCGTGCTCAGAGAGCATGGCAGGGCGATGGGGGGAGTGAAGCGCCCACCAACAAGCCCAGCGGCACTCCGCGTTTGTTTACAAATGAGTGAACAAGTGACTGATCCTTAGCGAACATTACCAGCTCAAGGACACCTTATCTAATATTTTTTATCGCCAGTGAATACTCTCTAGAACTGGGGGAGTACCTGGACAATATCTACAAGGAAAATCCTAGAACATTCACATAAAATAGAGTGTATAGTGGAGATCAGTGACACGGTTTCCTCCACCTTCATTCATAAACTTTTATCTCGAATCATTCTTCTGCAACTGCAGGATAATCACGTAGCAACGCTACCAGATCATCATACAGCAACGCTGTAGCAAAATATCGTGCCTAAACTCGACAAGAGAGAATTAATCAGTCTGGCAAACTTGTCAGACAGGCACCCCGACTGGCAGAGAAGTATATTGAAGGTTATTTGGTGTATGATTGGCCAATTGTATGCTTGTGTAACTTTAATATCCTATAAATCTGTCTGTTGGTTAAAAAGCGAGGCTAAGCCTCACATTTCAGTAAGTTTATTAAAATTGTAGTGTAGCTGTGAATCTTATCCAAGCACTGAACCTCATGAGTGTCCATTCTGTCAGAAAAGAATTCAGCCTCAATAAGTAAAAACCTCACAAGTGTCCACAGCGTTGGAAGAGATTCAGTCAAGCTAACTGTATAAATTGAATATGTCTGCATATATATTTGAATATATAAATTAAGTTATCAATTGCTTGCTTAGTTATTTTTAAGTTATCATATAAGTTCATTTAATTGAATATAATTTCTAGTAGTTACTTAATAGTATTAAGACTACATTTAAGGTCATTTATTATACTTTTACAATTTAATTTGTTGTTTATAGTATAAGTACATATTGGCTGTTAAGTTATGGTACTAGGTTAGACTATGTATGTTTAAATCCCTGATTTAAACAGAGCCAGTGTTCAGTCATATAACTGAATTTATCAAATCTTATCCTTGTATAAAATACAAGCTGATGTGAGATCCCTGTCTACAGGTGGATTGGAACTTCTATCAACATAGTCATTCACCCCACCTGTCCCTTACAGCCCACAGTCTGTCATTAGGAAAAGAGGATTTAGGATTTACAACCCTAACTAGAGATTTTAGTTGAATTAATTTGCAGACAGTAAATTTTTAATTTAGTTCAGTACAAGTCCCTGGTAGTCTCCTCTTATATCAATCCCAGCAGGTTTTTCCCACATTAATGGTCCTTCGAACCTAGATAATAATGGTCCTTTATACCTAGATATTTATGATCATACGTTTACCGAATATTTCAATGCCAAATACATAAGAAACTTCTTGATTTTGCATTGGAATAATTCTTACATATTCTAGCCTAACCTGGCTATCAGCCAATATTTATCATAGCTATATATCTAAGTAAACAAATAGTTTGCAGTGGCTTAAGCCACCATATCCATTAACTAGTAAGCATTCATAACAAACTGATATTGTTTTGTGTTAAGAAACCACAGTACTTAATTATATCAGTGTCACAGACACAACTGCATCTTAATCATAAAATACCATTACCTACCTCATTGTGGTAACATTACATATATATTTAAGTGTATTATCTAGCATTATCTCTAATCTACTGATTTTCAGAGCTGCTCATTACATAATATTCTTTAAAAAAGTGTTATCATCACTGTAAGAGCTTTCATTACAATCTAACCATAATCAACTATATCATACCCTATTCCAGGTAAAACCAGTAGACATTCTACTGTATTTTATCTAACAATTATTATGGTAACAGATTTTGTAATAACTTTGCAAAAATAGTGCCATTTACTATTTTTAAAAAATTATTACAAGATTTACCAACTTGGTGCATTCGTGCATTCGGGTCACAAATCAAATTATTACAATACTTTTGATAATTGAACACCTGCTACAACCAGATTCCAGGGAGGAAATGAAGGACGATCTTTGGAATCATTACCTAAGTAGACAGGAAAGCTCATTTATCAAAATACATTAACATCATACATATTTATCAGAAAAAAGAGAAAAATCTCGGAATCTCCAAAACTCGGAAAAGGTCAAAATGGCTAACAGTGTTCCACCAGCAGCTGAAACAGGAAATAGGAGGACACTTAATGGTCTGCAAAATCACCTAACTCAACTGATTGACAAATGTCAAAAGTTGGCTAGACAACCATCTCCTGATTTAATAATTCTGAATACCAGAGTAAAAGCAGCTGTGGATAAGTATGAACAAATCAAACGCCATGCAGAGATTTATCTAACAGAAATGGCTAATGCAGATTTAACCCGAAGGGAACTTCAGGAAATTGTCGTTGAAATGACAATGTATGAAGATAAAATCCAAGATCAACTTGATCCTTTAATCAAACAAATATCTCAAGCAGGAACCCAATCCAATGTGAGCTCATCCACTCAACAGAGCAATGCAACTATCACACATATAGCCGCAGAGCTCCCAAAGGTACAATTACCATATTTTGAGGGCAAGGATGAAGACGATTGGGATACCTTCTGGAGACACTTTGATTCTATAATAAACTCCAAGCCCTCTCTCAAAAAGGCGACAAAGTTTCAATATTTGCAAGGCCAGTTACGGGGAGAGGCAAGGCAGGTCATTGCTAATTTGTCATTAACAGATGATGATTACGACCATGCCTTACAGTTGTTACAAGATAACTACAGTGATAAGGAGACTGCAATTGCACGTCTCTCATACAAATTATTGGATTTACCCTCTCCAAATAAAAGTTATGAGTCACTACAATCATTTCGATTGTCTATAGAATCAATCATCAAAGCCCTCAGTACAAAAGTACCTGTAGGTGATGCAGAGTGGCTTATAAAGTTAATCATTCAAAGGAAACTTCCAAATGAGGTCATAGACAGCCTATGCACTCATTATAACACCAACATCTTATCACAAAGCCAAATCATTGATGGACTTCGAGCTTACGTACAAAGATTACGAAGCCGAGGAAAACTTAGATCTCAAGAAAAAATCCCCAAAAGTGAATCCACGGACAAAAGCAAAAATGTCCAGAATGGCAGTCAAAAATCAAGGCAACAAAACTCCTCTTCTGCAAAGTGGAAACAGAATAATGTTGGCTCTTATGCTATATCCCCCACAGTTAACAGAACTGTAGGAAACCAAGCTCCTAAGACAGATAAGACAAAAGGAGCTACAAGTGCCCCAAAATGTTTATTCTGTCAAGAAGCACATACCATTTATCAATGCACAGTTTATGTAGGCCGTGCCAGTCGAATCGATCGACTGAAATCTCTGAACAGGTGCATCCGTTGTCTACGGAAGCACGATACAAGTGAGTGTATCACTCAATTGCAGAACTGCCAATATTGTCATAAAAGTGTACATCACACAGCACTCTGTGGTGATATTAACACTCAATCCAGATCACAGACTTCCAATAATCAACCTGCATCTCAGGCAAAGCCCAAAGATGATAATACCACAACAGCCGTACAATTCTGTACAGTAATGAGCAATGTCAACGACTTGGATACAGAAATTGTTACAACAGCCATATTGCCTACTGCACAGCTAGAACTATGCAATCAAGGAATTTGTATTCCAACTAGAGGCTTTTTTGATCAAGGGTCACAGAAAACCTTTATCAGTAAAAAGATGGCAGAAGATTTACAACTTAAATCTTCAAAGCAAGTATCTACATCCATATCAGGGTTTTTTACTAATTCTGGTCGTAGAACCTTTCCAGTAGTAAAACTCAATGTCTGTCTAGGTACATCCCAAAGGACAGTAGAAGCCATAGTAGTTGATAAAATTCCTACTGAAATGGAAGTGACTGGTCTGACAGCCACAATTAAATTCCTAAAAGAAAAAGGAATACAATTAGCAGATCCTCTGCTTGATTCTGACTACATAGGGGATATCGGAATCCTGATTGGAGCTGACTACTATCATCGATTCATTCTGGGATCAGAAGAATCTATGGGTATGAATATACTCAAATCAGCAGGAGGCATATTGATGACAGGACCTATACTAGATCTTGAACCTTCAACTCCTGAAAAATCACATCATACAGAAACTGTAATAGTGGCATGACTAGGCAAAGAACAGTCACCACTTAAAATCCCCCACATGATTGATGATGGATTAGAATCTGTACCTCAATTGTGGGAACTTGATGCCATAGGAATAATTCCTGAACAACCAAGTCCTGATGATGTCTGTGCATACAATCAATACTTAGAAACTGTACAGTACCATGATGGACAGTACTGGGTAAGGCTACCATGGAAAATCAACCATAAAACCTTACCTACCAATTATCACATGGCTTATAGTCAATTTAAATCTCAACTAGCAAAGCTAAGAAAAAGGCCTGAGCATTTAAAACTCTATCATGAGATTATTGCTCAACAATTAAAGAATAAATTCATCGAAGTCGTGAAACATGACAATACGCAAACAGGCCATTTTTTACCA